CATAAACAGGGTTTTCTTTGTTGTATTAATGAGGCCGTATCAACGTAGGAACTCAAAAAACCAAACTCACTGCCATTGAGTCATTTCCAACTCACAGCAACCCCTCCTTGGGTTTCCAAGGCAGTACCATCCATGGACATAGATTGACCAGTTTTCCTTCTGAGGAGTAGCTGGTGGCCTTGAATCACCAGACTTCTGGTTAACAGTCAAATGCCTTAGGTACCATGCCACCAAAGCTCCCATATCAGTGCAGCATGTGTTCTAATTTCTCAGTTACAGAAAGACCAGATTAGACCCAGAAGCAAGCACAGGAAGGGGAAAACAGGCATCACCTGAGGATCATGGAGACCGATGAATGTACAAGGGCAGAAACTCCAAGGATTATGGTCTACTAGAAGCTGAAATAGACAAAGATGGACCTCCCACCAGAGCCACACTCAGAATTTGGGTTTCTTTCTTCCTGAACTGTGAGGAAAAAAAAAAAAAATTCTGTTTTTTAAGTCACCTACTTGCAATTCTGTTACAGCACTATAAGGAAACTAAGACACCTCTTCAAGATTTTCCTCAATATTCAGGGTGTCAGAAAGTCAAAAGGCAGGACTTCCAATAAAGAAGTCAGTTACTCGAAGTGGCACAGTGGTTAAAGTACTGCTCAGCTGCTAACAGAAAGGTGCGCAGTTTGAACCCACCAGCACCCCGCAGGGTAAAGATGTCGCAATCTGCTTCTGTAAAGATGACAGCCATAGAAATGTTATGGGGTAGTTGTTGTTGCTGTTCTCATCCAATGCTGCCTAGTTTATATTTACTGTCCAAACAAGAGTGGGGCCCTGACACCACAAAGGTAAAAGGTAAAAGTTTTATCACTCTTCAACACGTAAGAAAAACAAGTGTCTTATGACAAACCTGGTCATAAAGTTTCTCTGATAAAGTAATTTCAAAGTATATTTATCTAATAAATGAAAGGAATAATTTGTTGGGAGATAGTATTTCTCTGTTTTGAGACCTATACAGCTTCCCAGAATGTTTCATGTTATTTTTTTTTTTTAAAAGATTCTAATAAAGACCCTATGCCTTCTTCATCTTCGTATCACTCATAGCAACCAGTACAATGTCCTGCACACACTAGGAATGCGATCAAATATTTGTGAACACAGTTCCTGACAACCAACATGAAAGGCTTAGAGGGAGACCAGGGAAAACAAAGGAACATCCAAACATATTTCTAGTATGCTTTTATCTGATATTTTAACAACACCAATCTGAAAAAGACTTCCAGGAACTTGCTTCTTTAAAAAAATGCACCTATCTACAATATTTTAAATTTGCATACTGTTAACGGAAAATGCAAGTAAAGCTTTCATTATTTTTACATGTAGTTTCTTCTTGGACAGAAATTTATTATAAGTACTGTCACTCTGCTCTGGGTACTGTATTACATGTAAGTACTATGAAATGAAAAAGATGATACAGCGTCTGTTTAAAACTTGGGTGCAATGGGATTCTAAGCTCAAATGCAAATTATTTGGCCATTAAAATAATTCAGTTGCTAACAAAGCCAAATAAGAAGAAATTGGATTATATTGGGGAAAAGAGTGCTGGTAGGAAATAGAGACAAAGGAGTTCTTGTCCCTGCTCAGTGTTTCATTTACTGTGTGACCTTATCTAATTAGTTAGCCTCTCTGGGTCTCAATTTCCTTGTTTTCATATTATTTTTAAGGTCCCTTCTAACCACATGCTAAGCTTACATGAAAAAAGTCACATTTAACTTGACGGTTTTAAATATCTGAGTTTGGATTTCTATTAAAGGCAATTTATTAAAATGTCAGATAAGCTTAAGTCCATGACGAGTGGAGAATTAAAGCAAGTATTGCTTACAGATTCAAATTTCACCTCGACAGCAGCTGCTGCTGAGAGAAAATCCTATCCTTAACAATAGAAAATTACACCTCTTTACAAATGGAGAAAACTAGTAAGGGTGAATTTCATGGTCTCAAAAATGCAGATGATAGCTTTGCTTTGCTTTTTTCATACTCATTTTGAGGGGATGAAGGAAAGCAGAAGGGCTCACAAGGCTTGGGGATCAGGGAGAGGAGTATGGAAGCTATTGTACAAATCCAGACAGGCCCCTCTCAACTGATGTTACTATATTAGACGGTCCATTCTTCTAAGTAATGCTCACGAACCAATGAAATGAAAAGACTTCCTGTGGCTGGGATGGGAAGAAGCCTGGACAAGTGAGGAATGCCACATAACAATAGCTAGCCTAAAGTCTGACTTGTAACTCAAGATGGGATTCAGAAAGGGGCAGAAAAAAACAGCAATCTGTGGCTGAAACCAGTTTAGCTAAACTGTGATTTGTATCTAACTCTAGCTTTAACATATTTTGAGGTATCTTTTGATACCAAACAGCACTAGTATAGCACTTTAGCACACACAAAACAAATTTAGAATCATTTAATCCACACAAAATCCCCTATTTTTAACTCATTTAATAGATGAAGAAACAATGTGAGAGGGTTTAGGGGACTTGCCCAACAGCAGTTAGTAATTGTCTGAGCACTCCATTTAAACCCAGTCTGACTTCAAGTCCTTCCATCATTTAAAAGTGGTGCGCTGACATCAGTTTTCAGACCTTATTATTTTCTGTCTGATTTAATAGATCTTGTATTTCAAAATTTTTCCCTCCCCCAGGTCTGGCTTTCCTCGGATTCTTAAAGCGTCTTGTGCATCATTCTCCCCACTACCTTACTGGGTCTTCCAATTGTTAGTATCCTTGTCTCCCTGGCTAGACTGAATTCTTCACTGAGAGAGATGATGTCTTACTCATCTTGAAGATGGAAACCACCATACAGGGATCTGTGACCTCTCCACTCCATCCCAACTCCCTCTCCCTATTGCCAAGAACACGCCACAAAATGGGTGTTGGCGATTACTTCCAGGGGGCCTGGCACACAAAAGGAAATTAATCATTGTTAGTTAAATGGATGGTGGATGAAGCAATACTCATAAATATTTCAGAGCATTTTACACTGTAGTTATTTACATGCAACATCCTATATGAATGTAATCTCTGAATTTGATATTAATTATATTGTTTTCTCTTTCTGAAATGTGGTTCATGTTTCTCCATTTCAGAAACTTGCCCAGAGGCACACAGTAGCTAGCAAGTTGCAGCCTTTCAACTTCAGAAAAGGTCCACGGGATTCCATTACCCTCTAGCTTTATCTCCTCTTCATTTCCAAAGTAGTTGTTGAGGATAGACTTGATTAGGGCTATTGCCCCATTCTAGTTTCCTGTTGTGAAATCTGAGACTCCTAAAAAAAAATCGTCTTACAGAATCTTTACCCAAACAATTAACTGTGACAAAGGCAATCTAAACAAACACCATGTAAGAATTTGCAGGTTGTGCTTCCTGGTCCACACACAGTCCTAGGCTCTTTCTCTTATCTACAGGCTGATGGAGCAGAACAGGGGATAACTCAAAATTGACTTCTAATTTTAGTTTTCTTAGCCTGTAAATATTCAGCCATCAGATTTCTGAATTGAAAGACACAAGTCAGACTACCAGTCCCATCCATCCACTCACGCTGTCTTCTGGACCAAGTACACAGAAAGCTGCATAAGGGAGAGACTGAGTGTTAAGAATAAAGCACCATTAAGGTGCTACCCAGTGTTTACTAAGCAGAGGAAGCGCGACAGCACATTCTTCTACTTCGCCCAGAAATGCAATCTCAGAAGAAATTCAGAAACTGTGGCTAGGGAATAAAAAGACAAGCAACCTAAGTATGATGCCCAGACCCATTTTGAAAATAGCATGCTTCCTTCAAGGGTCAAGTAAACATCAATAGCTCCATTCTAGCCAATCAAAGAACCGTTAAGGCTAAATACTTGAAACGCACTTATCTTTAACATAGAGCCACTTTGAACTGGTACAGCTGGCTGCCCTGCAGATTCACACCACCCTCAGCTCAAGCGAAACCGCCCCCCCCACATTCTTCTCAGTATACTGGGAAAAGTTCAGAAAATGACATCTGTACACACTCGACACGTGCAGTTATGCAGTATCGCATCACACGGAAACAAGGGGCTTGAACACAAGGCAGTTCTTAAAATTATTAGGCACTCTATCTTTAACTCCCACTGCTAATGAAAGGAGACGTATATCAAAGTCTGTTTTCCTAACCTTATGCCGAGAATTTAAGTGAGCGGTTTCCGCCCCACGGCGAGGTCAGGTGACACATATCAACCCTCAGCAGACTATCCAGGGAAGCCAGGACCTTGGTTTTATTGCTAGGGGCACAGTAACTAGCATTTACTGCAGCACTTTGGGGTGCTCACATTGCGGGACTCCCTCCTTTGCCAGGACCCCTCAAGTCTGTACAGGAACCCTGGGAGGGAAATCCCATGTTGAAAGATATTCCCCAGTTTTAAAGAAAGCTATGCGCGACTTTAAAGCCTTACCTTAACTAACAAGAGGCGAGTGGGGGTGGGGAGACCCACCAAGCCAGGGGAATAGTAAAGAGACAAAGATCACCCCAAATCATACGCGCGCGCGCATTGAAGCTTGGAGTCTGCAACGCACATTCCATCGGTTTTCACTGTAATCTGCTTCCTGTGGGGTTTATTCCCCATCCCAGCTCCCCGCAGAAAGTTTAAGGCTGTTCACTCGACTTTCAAAGGTCCATTGTTCCCTTCCCCAAAAACGCAATGAAAAGAAAGAAAGAAATCAAGACGGACTTCCCAAGGACCCTTTCTTATGCAGAGGAGTTCCTCCGGTGGAGTCCGGTTACTCCTGCTCCAGAGGAGAGAGACCGGGAAAGAAGGCGCGCGGGAGGCGGGAGAATATTTTCCACTTCAGTAGAAATGCCCAACGCCAAAGCGGGCCAGTGAGCCTGGAAAGTGCCGGAAACCAGTGTCCCTGGCTGCGCCCCGCGCCCTGGCAGTGTCCCCCTCGAGCACAGGGAGGAGGGGCGGGTAGCGGGTGACCTCTCGCTTCTTACCTTCCCCTCCCCTGCTTTGCGTCGGTCAACTCAGGTGCCTACACAGAGGTCCAACGAGCCAGAGTCGAGCTCCTGGCGTCCCCGGGTCCGGATCCCCTCTCCATGGCCAGGGAGCCCCAGAGCCTCAGCGTGCGCCGCCGCCGCTGCTTTTACACAACTGGCAGCCACAGCCTCTGCCTGGAGGTGAAATACTCTCCCGGGAGTGACGCGCACTTCCCTCCGCCTCTGCCTCCTCCTCCTCGCGGGCAGGGGCCTCGGCTGGCTCTTTCCCGGAGCTGCCTCTGGGCTTTCTTCGCTCCTTTCCCTCCGGGAGGAAGAGGAGGAGAATCGCGGCCACCGCGGCGCAGGCCGGAGTGTCCCCACGATAATGGGTAAAAAGATAGAGGCGCAGGGCAGAGACGGGGCCCCGGGGTCGCGCTTGTCCCGGTCGGCGGGCGCCGCGGCTCAAAGTAGTCGCGCTCAGCCTCCGCCGGCCACACAAGCGGCCCGGCTCTGCTGGGCCGAAAGCTGCGGATTGGGCGTCCCGGCGGGAGGGAAGCCGAAGCAGAGGAGGAGCCTGCGGCCGGAGAAGGCGGTGACCGCGCTGGGCTCCTCCCGCTGGCCGGGCTCTGCGCGAGCTGGGACGCGGACGCCCAGCGCCGCTCGCTGCCGCTTCCAGGAACAGCGCCAGAGCGCACCGCCGGCGGTGCAGGTCTCGCGACCAAGCGCTCCGGGATGCGGCTGCAAGACGCCTGTTCGCGCCGGCCGGCGCACCAGTCCAGCCGGGGCCTGAACCTGAGCCTCCAGCAACCCTGGCTGATCCTGACCCTACGCCTCCATCGTGCCAAGCGAGCCTGACCCTGCGGCTGCATCACCCCAGGCTGTACTTGACCCTCTGTCCTCATCAAACCAGGCTGATCCAGACCCTCCCATTAACCTACGCTAGGTTGGACCTGGCATTGCGGCCCCATCACCTGGGATGGGTTTAAGCCTGCGTCCTCAACGCCCTAGGCTGAGCCTGACACTGCTCCCCCATAAGCCCAGGTTGGACCGGGCACTGCGCCCCCATTATTACGCAGTAAATCTAGGCCTGCGCCTCCACAGTTTGTGTGCATCCAGGCACCGCACCACGGCCGCCCCCACCTGGACGGCTGCGAACGCTGGTGTTTTTGCCCTTTCGAAGGAACCAGTCTGCTCTCAGACCCGAGGCATCTCCTCTGGGAGCTTGGAGCGGCACCAGCACCCAGCTCTCAAACCAAGATAAATATACCTGTATCTCCCCCACGCCCCCTCCCCGGGCCACTCTGGAGTGGTTACTGCTTCCAGGGGTGGAGTTGAAAGCCATTCCCCAGCCTACACTAATTCCGAAACACCTCTCTATGGTCACCCAGACTAGGCTGGAATAGCATGGCCAGCACCCCGCCCCCTCACTGGAGCTGCTCTCACTGAGGAAAAGCCTTGGCTCCCGACCCTGAGGGCGCGGCCCGGACTGGATCAGTCAGACCCACGAGGTCCCGGGCTAGTGACAGCTGCAAACCTTCCAAGTCCGGCCCGTCGTCATCCTGTATTTGGTTCAGAATTGGAAGTTTTCCCTCTAGGGAACTCTTCCAGTGAATACTGTACAAATAGGATTATTCCGTTTTAAGGGTTGCGCTCTCGGCCTCCCCCCCCCCCCTTTTATAAAAAGTCATGTAACCATGACACACCCAGCAGGCGAGAAGGGGAATTCCCTGTTTCAAGGATTTTTGTTTCAGGAATTTGTAGAAAGAATCAATATTTCCAACTCTTGGCTGATGAAAAGAATTCTCTGGGGCGCTTATGAAAAAAAAATAGGATTCCCAGACCTCACCCAACCTGCTGAATCAGAGTTACCTGGAATGGGGAAGTTTGGGAAACAATGCTTTTTTTCTTTATCAGAAAACTGATTAAAACCTTGGAAAGATACCTCCAAAATAGCAACACCCTTTAGTGCTGAGACCTTACCCTTTGGGGAGACACTACCCCTTCTGGGGAGTCCTTGGGTGGTGCAAATAGTTAAGCATTCAACTGCTAACAGAAAGGTTGCAGATTTGAATCTATCTATAGGTACCTTGGGAAAAAGGCCTGGCATCTACTTCTGAAAAATCAGCCACTGAAAATTCTATGGAGCACAGTTTTACTCCAATATGTGCAGGTTCCTAAGTCAGAATCAACTACACAGCAACTGGTTGGGTCCCTTCTGGGGAAGAAAGGTTCTTAAAATCAGGCAGTTGATACTGAGTGTCAAACTGGAAGGGACAAAGGACTATTTTAGTGGTCCAAAGTGAAATGTTTAGGACCACGTCTTAGGAAGACAGGATAGGTACTATGTCACCCTGTGCCTGTGTAGTGCCAATTTACATTAAAAATGTCCATTTTCTGAACCTTTATTAAATGCCAGGCACTCTGCTTGGACATGTGATAGTATCTAATTTAATCCTCCCAGTAATTAGTATTCCAGCTTTAGAAATGAGAACACTGGGAATCAGAAAGTTTAAGGAGCCTGCGCAAAGCCATGCAGACAGAGCCTGTAAGACTCAAGTCTGTGGATCACTCAACTGTTGAAAATAACAATAAAAATTCATATAAACTACTTAATGAAAACTTTAAAGAGGTCTCAGCCAAGGTCCAAGGAAAATTGAGCCTTTGTGTGTCTCCCTTTGAGAGTAAAATAAACTCTTGTTCTTATTTATATGGAATATCAGCCAGCGAAGGAAACTAATGTGAGAGGAGGTTTCAAAGAAGAAGACTGACAAAGTGAGAGGCCACAGGCTTCTCTGCTCAGTGGAACTGATGTCACAGCTTGGGTTCTCAGGAGGCTTCATTTCTTAGTACTGCCATAACAGAACTGTCACAAGTGTGTGTGTTTAATGAACAAAAATTTATTTTCTCACGGTTCAGGAGTCTAGGCATCCAAATTCAGGGCACGGCGTATAGGGGAAGGCTTTCTCGGTTGGCTCCTGGGGGAAGACCCTTGTCTCGGTTTCTGTAGTCCTGTGTTCCTCAGTTTCTTGGTCATATCGGGGTGGTAATCATCTCCCCCCCATCCCCCACACCACCATTCATGCATTGTTTCTGTATCTACCAAAAAACAAAAAGCAAATTCACTGCTGTCAAGTCGATCCAACTCATATTGATCCAGTATCTCTATGAAAGTAGATTGCCCAGTCTTCCTTCTGAGGAGTGGCTGGTGGGTTTGAACTGCCAGCCTTCTGGTTAGCAGTCAAATGCCTTAGGCACTATGCCACCAGAGTTCCCTCTGTATCTACTACACTCCTCCTTAAAACTCAGAAGGGATTAGGTTTAGGACACACCCTACACTGATTACTGCTTCATTAACATATATATTCAAATGGGATTACATCTAAAGGTATAAGGGGTTAAGACTTCAACACATTCTGGGAGACACAATACAATCCATCACACCAGGAAAGCAGGCTCTGCCAGAAAGTAGCCAGGATGTTCCCTGTGGGGTCAGCACCTGTGAGGGAGGGACAGGAATAAGGATGTGACAGAAGCAGCCATGTGGACCCAACATCAGCCTCCAGTGGCCCCATTCGAGGCTCTGGAGCTAGAATGGCCCTTTAGAATGACTGGGCCTAGATGGCTCAGCCTTTAAATACCCTCTGTCCTGGGAAATGGTGTGACCTTGGTTGAGGCAACTCTGCAGCTCAAACCTGAAAGGGCTGGCTATGAGCAGCAGCAGGATCAGGCGAGTCTTTCCTTTAAGGCCAATCTGGGAAGCACATCTCAGTATCGCCCACTCATGTGGTATGTATCCCTCACCATTATGCTGTCTTTTCCATTTGAGAAGAGAAGGCCCTAAGGTGAGTGTGGGGTTCTTATTATACATTCTGCCCCCTGGTGATGACAGTGTATACACAGTACTCACAGTCTTGAGACAGGATAGCCCCTGGTCAGACTGCCTGGGTTAGAATCCAGAGTCCATCACACACTAGCTATATAACTTTGGACAAGATATCCAGCCTCTCTGAGTCTCAGTTTCCCCATTTTAAAATGGGAATAATAGTACCTAGCCTATGAAGTTGTTATGAGAATTAAATATAGTAGTGCTATAAGGAGGAGCTCTGGTGGCATAATGCCTAAGGCACTTGACTGCTAACAAGAAGGCTGGTGGTTCAAACCCACCAGCACCTCCTCGGAAGGAAGACTGGGCGATCTATTTCCATAGAGATACCACGTCGGAAACCCAAGGAGGGGTTGCTATGAGTTGTGATCGACTTGACGGCAGTGAGTTTGAGTGTTTTTTTCAGTCCTTAAAATTAAGGGGATTTATTAAGGAAAAAGGTTACATACAAATACAGGGAAACACCAGGCCTTATAAGTGAGAACTGATGACACCAATTAAAAACTTTTAACAATATAGTCCAGAGAAGAAAGAAATTATAATATAGTAATGGATTGGTTAGTCTTCGGATGGTTTAGGAGTGGGGAATGGGCTTCTACTGGGTAATTGAGTATAGAGGCTTATAGTGATTGATTTCAGGAACTAATTACAGAGGTTTTCAATCATAGTCCCATACTCTTCATGTGGGATCATAAAACATAACTGGTGGATGTTTAAACAGCTTTAACCATATGTCTCAGGAATCTGTAAAAACCATCTTAGTGCCAGGACTCATCTCCCTGAAGCAGCTTGTTCAACACAAACCTTTTAAGTTGTCTGGAAAACTTTAGATATCTAAAGTCCAGCTCCAAAACCCTTTCAAACAATTCTCTTCATAACATCTTTGTCATAGAGAAATATTTCTTGGACCCACTTTATACAAAAGACATCTGTGTCAAGATTCCCTTCCTTAGAGTGTATTTCTTTCATATCCTGGCTTGACCATAGAGAGAAAAATTCCTTCTTACTTTTTATGGCTAGTAGCAATTACACAGCTTGTAAGAGGTTTGCATTGGCTCCGCAGCTAAGCAAACAAGGAGTCCCAGGCAGGCAAGCAAGTAAACAACCGCTTTAATTCAGCAAGAACTGAGTTGAATCCAATCATTTAATTTTCATCAAAAAACCC